TGCAAATGAGGATTCTTGTGAGGTCAAGATTTTTTCTGGTGGAAGGCAGTACTTAAAATTTTAATCTATGTGCAATCCTTGGATATACAGTTTGTGAAATTGTTTCACAAAAAGATAATGAGCCCTGGCTGATGTGGCTTAGTTGGTTGGGCATCATCCCATACACTGAAGGGTTGCCGGTTCGATTCCCTGTTAGAGCACATACTTGAGTTGTGGGTTTGATCCCTGGTGGAGGGCATTCAGGAGGCAGCCTATCAATCACATCGATGTTTCTGTCTCTCCCACTCCCTTCCTCTTTCTCTTAAAAAAAAAAATCTTTAAAAAAGTAATTAATGAGCGTAAAAAGGTATATGTCTACCACTGAAAGTGTCCATCAGTATGGAATTGAGTTATGGTGTATTCATTCAATAGGATACTATGCAGCTACTAAAAATGGTGGTGTATTACAGATTTATATTTATTGCAATGGAAATAGGTTCTCGACATGCCTTTTTTATTTCTCAACAGTAAGTCATAGCATGAAAGTAGCACCTCACTTATATACAATTGTACATTTGTGTAAGTGTAGACCGATTTCTGGAAATAAATACTGATTAAAATGGTTTATCTTCGGCAGCTAATTATGTTGTTTTTTTTTTTTTGTATTGTTAGGTTTCTTTATACTGAATGTTTATCATTTTTATACTTAAAAAAGGAAAAGTATTTCCCCCACTTTTTGAACAAATAAATGTCCAGTATATCCCTTCTGCTTGTTAAATTATTTTGTGGGTAACAGAAACTATAGCCTTTAAGCCAGTATCTGATCAGGTCTGTAGAACCTTTGTAACTTAATACCTAGGGCAATGGTTTGGAATACCCTACCACCATTGAAGCAACACAGGAACCAGTTGAACTGGTACAGATGGTTGGGGAGTTCATTGACTGAAAATTTTAATGCCTCACCCTGCTGTAGTTAACTTCTATAAAGATTTGATTTTTAAAGAACAAAGTCAAGTTAGAACCTTTGTTTTGACTTACTGGAGTTGTTTTTTTCTTTTTTTTGCTTTATTGAGGTATAATTAACAAATGAAATTGTAAGACATTTAAAGTATACATCGTGATGGTTTGATATATATTGTAAATGGATTCCTCCCATTTAGTTTATTCATCACCTCACATATTCTTCTCCTCCTCCTCCTCCTCCTCCTCCTCCTCCTCCTCCTCCTCCTCCTCCTCCTCTTCCTCCTCCTTTTGGTGATTTAAATTCTATTCTCTTAGCACATTTCATTTATACAACAGTGTTACCAACCATAATAACCATGTTATATATATCAGATCCTCAGACCTTACCTACTTATAACTGAAAGTTTGTACCTTTTCATCAACCTCTCCCTATTTTCCCCATCCCCCTGGCAACCTCTTTCCCTACTCTATGTTTCTATGAGTTTGACTTTTTTTTTTATTCCATGTATAAGTGAGACCTTGCAATATTTGTCGATTTACTTTGGAATAACAAAGAGTACCTGAATTTAGTGCATGTACCTGCCCTTGTTGAGAGGGATAGTAACATTAGAAGTTATTCTCTTCTCTCCTATATGTCAGGTACTGTATTAATCATTGGGATGGGGAAAAGTAAAATACCTGCTCTCCAGTATCTCACTGCTAGTGCAGCACTGGAACTGTCAAGGGACCATTTCAGTGAACCATGCTTTTGACCTAGATGTTGATGTGTTTCCTAAACATGAATTAGCCAAATCAGAGAAAGGACATGAAGGTAATCCAGGTAGAGACAAAGGCCTGGAGGTATGCAAGGGCATGGCACATGTTGGGAACAGAAAGTTATTGAGCATGGTAGGGATTGGGGTAGTATAGGCAAGAAAATGAGGCTGGAGAGGCCAGATGATAAAGGATTTTGTCAGCTGTCAGAGTCTCTTCCTCTGGGCTTTATTATAAATATAGTTTTTGTACATGTAGGCTGAGATTCTTTGAGTAATCTTTCATTCTTGGGGCTCCCCTTCCTCCTTTTAACTCCCTCATAATTAGACACCAAATGCTATCAATTTTGGGAACTTTGAATGGAATAATGACAAGCTAGATATAGTCTGTGTATTCTTTAGAGCAAACTTTAAGTCTTTTTTATTTTTAGGGCTTAGCGCTGGCTCACAGACACTTAGTTAATGTTTAAATGAATGGGTTATAGGAAGGAACTCAAAAGAAAAAATGTTTAGTATGTTTACATTGACCATGTATAACTTTTCTAAATCACCATTTCATTATAGAAAATCTAATTGTCTTAGGAGGCCTAGTTGAAAGTCCAACTCTTAGATTAGTGATTTTCAACCTGTGTGTTGTGTTGAATTTTTAAGACATGCAGTACCTGACTATTCAGGGGCACTGACCTCTTTTCCCTTAGACTGCCAAATTAAAAAAAGACATCAGCCAATACAGTAGCTGTCAGGTGTGAGCGCCTTTCTTGAACCATAAATATATAGTTTATATATTAGAGTTACATCTTATTGGTCACATCACCTAATAAGGTTGCATCTGATTGGTTAATTCTTTTTTTTTTTTATCCTGACCCGAGGACATTTTTTCCATTTTTGTTTAGATAGAGTGGGAGGGAGGAAGGGAGAGGGAGGGAGGGGGAGGGGGGAGAGAGAGAGAGAGAGAGAGAGAGAGAGAGAGACATTGATGTGAAAGGAACACATTGAGTGGCTGCCTCCTGCACAACCCCACTGGGGCCAGGGACAAACTGCAACCGAGGTATGTGCCCTTAGCGGGGTCTCTCTGGACCATAGGCCGATGCTCTAACTGCTGAGCCAAACTGGCCAGGGCTGATTGGTTAATTCTTGGTACCGGAAATCCTTTATAGACGTATAGGCACCTGATTTTTTTTTAAATCACTTTGGAACTAAAAGGGTAGGTGATTACTATTATTATTATTATTATTACTATTATTGTAAATCCAAAATTATTTTTTGTCAGGTCAGCAAAAAATTTTTTTTGGTGTGCTGCAGAATTTTAGTAGTTAATGTATGTGCCATGGATGAAAAAGGATTGAAATTACTGTCTTAGATCATTAAAAATCTTGAAAATTGAATCAGACCCATTAGTAAGGTCTGTTTGATTAGTTGTACTCGTGGGTGACTGACAAATCATAGTTAGGGAAGAAAAGTGCAGGCAGTTTTTAGCAATTTGATTTTAATGAATATTTGCCTGTTTACAAGTGTGTGTGCCTTTTTTCCCCCCTATCTAAGAACAATCTTCGTGTGACCATCTCAATAGAGATTAAATTTTTAGTTAGAGGAAAAATCGTGAACATGTGTATATTTATTGCTTTTTACTTTTCACAGTTATTAATGTGGGCACATATGTTTTCTTGAACTTACAGATATGTACTGCATTTCTTTGTTTACTATAAAAGGGAAGACTAGCCCGGCTGGTGTGGTTCAGTGGTTGAGTATTGACCCATGCACCAAGAGGTTGCTGGTTCGATTCCTGGTTAGGGCAAGCTCAGGTTGTAGGCCTGATCCCCAGTGGAGGGCATGCAGGAGGCAGCTGATTGATGTTCTCTCTCATCAATGTTTCTCTCTCTCCCTCTTCTTTCCTCTCTCTCTAAAATCAATGAAGGAAAAATAAAAAATAAAAATAAAAGGGAAGATTGTATATAGAGATGGTCAGGGTTTGTAACAATTAGACATTGTTTTAGTGAAGTAATTGTGCTATTTTGAAAGCAAATTATGTATCTGAGGCATATCTGTAAAGCAGCCTTAATGATTATCAGCAACACAGCTGCTGTAACTATTAGTAGAATTTAATCTTTTGTTATTTGGATCATATAACCTACAATGGAACTTTTATACTTGAAAATTGTGCAAGACCTTTATTAAGACATAATGTTAGTAAAAGAAATGTGTCTTGAAGTGTTTTCATATATGGCCTTAAGTGCAAGGTATTATATAGAACTAGAATGATATTATTATAATATAATTCTACTTATGCATATATTTATGTTTAATATTTTTAAGCCCCTTAATTTTTTTTTTTTTTTTATAGCATAAGTTAGCTAAGCCTGTAGCTTCCTCAACTATTTTTGGTTTATATCGAAGTACATAACCTGTAGTTTGAAATGGAAAATTTTTGCATATGTGGCTTTAATTATAGCTCCTGTAGCCTGGTTAATATGGTTTCTTATAGTCTATTTATTGTAACAAATCTCACTAAGATATGTGTGTTATAGAGGTAGATTAAAATGAAATTTTAACTTGATCTTAATTGCCTTATATCCTTTTTAGTATAGATGGTATAATGATGAGTATTTTACATATTATACCAATTTAATTTTAAAACCAAGATGAACTCTTTTTAAATTGATAGATATACATGTGTCTTATTTTCTGTTATTGTTTGTTTTGGTTTTGTTTTGGTAGAGATAATTGCAGTTGTAAGAAATGATACTCAGAGATCTTTTGTACACTTTGCCTGATTTCCCCCCGGGGACATTTTGTAGAACTATTCTACAACGTTATAACCAGAGTATTGACATTGTACAATTCACTGCTCTATTCAGATTTCTTCAGTTTTACTTACACTCTTGTGTGTGTGTGTGTGTGTGTGTAATTCTGTACTGTTTACTCTTCTTTGTATGTTTGTGTATCTGCCACTCAGTCAAGGTATTGACTAGTTCCTTATCACCAGGTTCCCTGCTTCTTTCCTGGCACTTTATTTTTCCTCCCCTATCTAACCCTTGGTAACTACTAATCATTCTTCCATTTCTAAAATTTTGTCATTTCAAAATGTTATAAAAGTGAAATCATACATTTGAGATTGATTGTTTTCGCTTAGTATAGTTCTTTGGAGATTCATCCAAGGCTGTGTGAATCAGTAGCTTATTATTCCTTTTTGTTATTTATTTTTTATAGTATTTAAGTTAGAAAACTCCTACCTAGTTTAAAACTTGGTTTCTACTTTGTTTCCTCCCTCATCTATTTTTAAAATAAATATATTTGTCTTAAATCTAGGTGATAAAACACGACCACCTTCCTCAAGCCCCTCAACTATTATCCGCCGCACTTCCTCTCTGGATACACTTGCTGCTCCATACCTTGCAGGACACTGGCCTCGTGATAGTCATGGTCAAGCTGCTCCTTGCATGAGGGACAAAGCTACACAGGTAGGTATATTACAGTTCTTATCTTGAAGTGTTTTACTCTGAAATCGTTTCTCATAGTCTGTTATTAAATTCTTAAAACATTAATGTATATTAGAATAACCTGAGAAGCTTATCAAAAATGGAGATTCCCAGGCCCGACTTCCAGATATTGTAGTGGATTTTGGTTAAGGCTACAGAATGTGCATTTTCAACAGTTCTCAGAGTAATTCCCCTTCATGTGCATATTTTATGGACATAGTTTTCTCTTGCTTACTCTTCATAGTTTAGAACATCACAATATGTTTAATATGGAATTTAGACTTAAAAATTTGTAACAGTAAGGATTACTTTACTTTCTACCTAATCCTATACAGCAAGTCATTGCATACTGTCATTTCGTTATAATGTTGATGAGATGGCGTAGGAAATTAACTCTTGTTTATATCAATTAGCCTATGGTAAAATTTGTTTTATTATATGTTGTTTCACTTAAAGTCATAGACCCTATACACAACATTAAGTGAAGACCTAACTGTATTTTTGTGCCAAAAATATTTATGTTTTGGGAGATGGGGATTATATTACATTGCCAATAGATTCTATAAATGTAAATATCCTAACAGTGGGACTCTGGAAGCAGAGTTTTATACTTTCAGATTTATAAATTTTTTTGGTTTGTTTTTAATCTTCACCTGAGGATATTTTTCCATTGATATTTAGATAGAATGGAAGGGAGAAAGGAGAGAGGGAGAGAGGAACATAGATGTGAGGGAGACACATCAGCTGGTTGCCTCCTGTATGACCCCAGTCAGGGTCGGGGATTATACCTGCAACCCAGGTACGTGCTCCTGTTGAGGAAACAAATCAAAGACCCTTTGGTCTGTGGGCCGGCACTCTAACTGGCCAGGGCTGTTTGGTTGCCTTTTGTATGTGCCCCAACCTGGGATTTAACCTGAAACCCAGGTATGTACCCTTCCTGACCAGGAATCAAACTGCCATCCTTTCTGTGCATGGGATGATGCTCCAACTGACAGTCACACCAGCCAGGGCTGATCATGTACTTTTTATTCTTTAACTTGTTTATGTGATGTAGCATGTTTATTGATTTGTGAATATTGTTCCAACCATGCATCCTAGGAATAAATCCCATTTGATCATGGTGTATGATGTTTCTAATGTATTACTGCATCTTGATTGCTAATATTTTGTTGAAGGTTTTAGCATATATATTCATCAGGAATTTTGGCATGTCATTTTCTTTCTTTGAAGTATGTTTATCTTGTTTTGGAATTAGCATAATTCTGGCCTCGCAAAATGAGCTTGGGAATCTTCCCTTGTCTTGAATTTTTTGTATTAGTTTCAGAAGGATAGATGTTAGTTCTTTGAATGTTTGGTAATGTTAGCCTGTGAAGCCATCTTGTCCAGGACTTTTGTTTGCCGGGAGGTTTTTTGTTTTGTACTGCTTCGATTTCATTAGTTTTAATCTATTTACATATTCTGATTCTTCTTGATTCAGTTTTGGAAGATTGTATGTTTCCAGGATTTTATTTATTTTGCCCAGGTTGTCCAATTTGTTGGCATATAGTTGTTCATAGTATTTTCCTACCAACCTTTGTATTTCTGTGGTGTCAGTCAGTTGTTCTCTTTCATTTCTGATTTTATTAATTTGTGTCCTCTTCTCTCTCTTTTTTAAAGAATTTTTTTTTCCTTATTGATTTTAGAGAGAGAGGAAGTGAGAGGGAGAGAGAGATAGAAACATCAATGAGAGAGAGAACATCGATTGGCCACCTCCTGCATGCCCCCCACTGGGGATTGGGTCCACAACCTTGGCATATGTTCTGACCGGGAATCGAACTGGCGACCTCTTGGTGCATGGGTTGACACTCAACCGCTCTTTTTTTTCTTGATGAATCTGGTTAAAAGTTTGTCAGTCTTGTTTATCTTTTCAAAGAACCAGCTCTTGGTTTCATTGCTCTTTTATTGTATTGTTTTGTTTGTCTCTATCTCATTTCTGTTCTGATTTTTATTATTTCTTTTTTTCTACTTACTCTGGGCTTTGTTGTTCTTTTTCTATTTCTTTTAGGTGCAGGGTTAGATTGTTTATTTAAGTTTTTTTTTTTAATCCTGACCCAATGGTATTTTTTTTATTGATTTTTAGAGAGAGAGGAAGGGAGAGAGAGAAACATCAGTGTGAGACAGAAACATTGATCTGTTACCTCCTTTGTAGGTAATTGATTACTTTTCTCTTGCTGCTTTTAAGATTCTCCGTATTTACTCTTGGGCATTTTAATTATGATGTGTTTTGGTGTGGGCCTCTTTGGGCTTGTTTTAATTGGGACTCTTTATGCTTCCCAAACTTGTGTGATTTTTCCCTTCACGAGGTTAGGGAAGTTTTCAGCCATTATTTCTTCAAACAGGTTCTCTATTTGCTCACTCTCTTCTCCCTTTGGTATCTCTGTAATGCAGATGTTGTTATGCTTGATGTTGTCCCACAGGTCTTTTAGACTTTCCTTATTTATTTATTTTTTTATTCTGTGTGTGTGTGTGTGTGTTTGGGGAGGGGGTGCTTACTATTATCTTATCCTCTAAATCACTGATTCAGTCCTCTGTTTCTTCTAACATGCTATTGATAACTTCTAGTGTAGTCTTCATTTTAGATATTGTATTCTTCATTTCTGACTGGTTCTTTCTTATGGTGTCTGTGTTCTTTTAAATGCTTACTATCTCAAAGTTCTCACTGAGATAATTTATTCTTTGCCTAAGGTTCTTGAGCATCCTTATAACAATTATTTTAAACTCTGCATTTGGTATTTTGGTTGCTTCCATTTCATTTCATTCTTTTTCTGGGTATTTCTCTTGTTCTTTCATTTGGGACATATTTCTTTATTTCTGCGTATTATGTAGATCTTCTCAGATTCCCAAACTTGTTATGATAGCTTTATGATGAAGGTGTTAGGCTCAGTGGCAGTCTTCCAGATCACCTGAGCTCCATGTTCCTGGAATGTTTTTTGTGGGCCTGTTGTAGTTTAGACTGGAATGCTGTTTGTCCTTTTGTGGGTGGAGTTAAACCTTACGAATGGCAGATTATAAGGGTAAACCTCGATCACTGTGTGTGAGACTCTGTGAGGGGCTGCCCTGTAAGGCAAAGTTGTTTCCAGCAGGGTCTGGTGCCGGCTGGAATTCCCCTTTTGGCTGTGCCGTTTGTGTTGCTAGTTGGGTTGAGCTCTGGTGTGGTCTGAAGTTGTGTTGGTTCTGGGTCCACTTGGGTGGGGTTTAGGTACAGGTCAAAGTCAGACATTGTATATAACCAGCCTTGTGCTACCTGTTTGGACCTAACACACTTTTCTCTGTTGTGCCTGTATCTACTTGGCCTAAATGTACATGGGAGGGGCCAATCTGTGTTTAAGTGTTGGTTTCCTCCAGCTTTGAGCTGGGGGCAGATCTGTAAAAGGACTGAGCTCCTTAAGGTCCACCTCTACCTGTCATCTACTCTGCCTCCCCCTGAATTTGGCTGGTCTTTCTCCAGAGCCTTCTGAAGAAAGACTGTAGGGTATTCCCAGGCTGGCTGTAACCCACAGATTCTTCCGTGATTGCAAGCTCGCTAGGCCTGAGTAACTGGGGTCATGAGGATGGTGTGCTACTGGGTCTCCTACTTGGGGGGTCATGTGGTCAGGCAGTCAGTGAGAGGAAAGTAGCCCCTATTCCAGAGCCAAGCCACTCAGTACCTGTTATAGTCTCCAACTCTAGTTTGCCCAGGAGAAGAATGCCACAGGTTTAGGTTGGTTGCAGCCAGCTGTCCTGTCTGTTGGAGCTAACTCAGCTCAGTGGAGCCACTGGGCTCAGGAGGACAGATCAAAAAAGTCTCCCATTGGGGGTGATGCCATCCCACCTCTCAGGAGTCAGCCAAGGAATCTGTCCCAGTCCCAGACAGTAGCCTCCAGGAAACTCACACTCTGAATATCCCAGCTCTGAGCAGCTCTCCCATCCCCCTGCAGAACTGAGCTCAGCAGGGTGAGGTATCCAGAACTTGGAATGCTAGATCCAAACAGACCCCCACTGAGGGTGGTACCCACAAGCCTGTAGGAGGGGGGCGGGCACTTCTTTCTCTTCCTGGGTAGCAGGGAGATAGGAGTGGCCCCCTTGCAATGTAGCCACACAGCCCAGCATCCACCCATCTGATTTCCCAGACAAAAGCTTCCCCAGGAGACACACCCCAAAAGTCCCAACTCTTTGCAACACTCTGATCCCTCTATGTGGCTGAACTCAGCAGGATGAAGCCCGCCAAGTAATTCAGCCAGTGGGCTGTGGGGGCACTGGATGTGCACTTGAGGTGGAGGAGACTGGTCCCCTTTCCAAAGTCACACAGTTTAGTCACTGTCTGAGTTTCTGCCGAGAGTCTCCCCAGAAAAAGGGGGGCCCAAACCTCACTGCAGCAGAGTGGCTTCCAGCAGTTGGGGACTGGACAGTGCACTCTCCAGGCTGGTGCTGTAACAATAGGAGTGCTCTTCTTGGGAAGGTGGTGTGTGGGTCTGTAGCAGACTCACTTGTCTCCCAGACGGGTTGAATCTCCACTGATTTGCACCACCAGATGCTGTGCTAGCTCCTCTTCCTGTCTCTGTTGCTCTGGTTTGGGGATCCCTGCACTGGGTGGAGACCCAGTGCTCTTGGAGGGGGAGGGACATTTTCTGTTTCTTCTATCTTTGTTGAAGTTCTCAAAGATCATAGAGAATCCTTGTTACCAGTGTTTTGAACTCTGCATCTGGTAGATTGCCTGTCTTTATTTTGTTTAGTTCTTTTTTTTGGAGTTTTTTGTTTCATTTGGGACATGGTTTTTTGGTTTCTTCATTTTGGCTGCTTCTCTGTTTGTTTCTGTATATTAGGTAGAGCTCTCATGTTTCCCAGCTTTGGTAGAATGGCCTTACATGATAGGTGTCCTGTAGGGCTCAGTGGTACACTCTTTCTCTTCATCTGACCAGTCACTCAAAGTGTGTTCCTTTTGTGGGTTGTATGTGCTCTCTTAT